AACATCAGTTCTAAGAATATTGATTCAATACAATCAAAAAGTTGTGTATATCTATGATAGAATAGTTAGTAGATAGTATAGGTTTTAGTAAAAAGATAACGTCTAATTCCCATGACACTAAAGAGTAGTCTAGGTTCACTAAGTGTTGTGTGCGAAGATTAACATGTGCCCACACCACGGTAAACAGTGAGTCGAGGGAACCAGAGGGGGTTTAGTGGGTAGGCTCCGTTGCCCTCTGGTGATGGACACGGCGGAGTCCATCACTGGGCTGCCTCCTTCCGACAAGGAGCTGCATCGGCAGCTGGCGCAGACAGGGCCACGGACGACGAGAGCGAAAGTGTGCCCGTGGTCTCGTCCCGATGCGTTGGAGGAACAGAGAGGTTTAGTGGGTATGCCTCCGCTATGGAGGAGAATCCCACATAACTACCGCGTCCCCCCCCCCGGGGCGCGGCGTGTGCATAAAGCATTCCTCTCTGGAAAAAAAGGGGGTAGGCCCCGTGTCCCTTTAGGTATGTGGAGAGAGTCCCACATAACCGGAGTGGCTTTCTTCGAGGCACCCGGTATGCGTAAGGCATTCCCCCTCTTAAAAAAAAAGGTTCACGAAGTGTAAATCATGATCAAGTGTAAATATGCAGTAAGTTTGTATGAATTTGCATTTGGAATCCTGAGTTACTGTCAAAACATATCGCCATCCCTGGTTATATTTAACAAAATAGAAATAACAATACGATTTAATATGAGATTTTGGTCTTAGAAACCTACGGTTAGAATTTTTGGTCTTCTTATTTAAGATATGAAGAAGAGATGAATGGATTGCATTAAAGTAGACATGATCAATAAGAGAGTAACGAATGAAATGACGAACAGTATAATCTGATGGACGAGAACTGGTGCATTAACCCAATGTGTGTAGAGGTACGGGGATATCTTGGTTCACGTCAAAACTTGGTTTTAAAATCTATGGAGTCCTTTAGGAGATTGGGGTAAACATAACAAGATTTGGACCATCCCTTGGAAGATTAAAAAGGATTTATTTATAATTTTATTTAGAACTTTATCTTTGCTGCAACTGGCACAAAATATTAGAAAGCTGATTTCGATACATTAAAAATAAATCAAAGGAAATAGAGTTGAAATAACGAGTTAAAATAAGATCCAATCGACTTTCGAATCCCAGAACGTTGGTATTATATAAGTCGAATGCGGAGAGTTCGTTGATCTATTCCTCCATTGGGAAGATTCCTGAATGAAGATGTGATTGGGGTTTTAAAATAGTTTTAGAAAGTTGCAATTTTGTTTTATTCATAATGTCCATGGTAGAGTTGGCACGTCTGGCATTGGCATACACTTGTTTTTCACGTGCCAAGTTACATGTTATCTTTATACTTCTGCTATTAGAAGATAAGTTATCTATATTTCTCTTAATTATCACTATGTGTCTCACTTAGGGTTTACTAAATTACTATGAGTTTAGCGATAGATCTTAAAGTACAACATCAAAATAATTCGTACAATTGCAAAACCGCATAATGCGAAAAGATTAGGTAATTTTCATACAACAATTCGTGGAAATGGTCGACTCATTTACCCTTCAGTACCAATAAAGGTTCCATTAACTTAATGGATTCGAACCTTCCAGCGGAATATCGATAAAAGTTGAAACGGCAAAGGCAATTATTTGCGGCCGCGCGAATAAAGTTTCGGCCAATCGGACATCTTGTCTAAACTTAGTATAACTGAGAAACGACGAAAATTATTTAAAGGGAGTTGTCATTCAAATGGAGTAACCTTGAACAAGTTTGTGAAAATATTCCATTGACAAATAAAGGTAATAACCTAATTTATTATATCTTACTAATATTATAAATGCGAATGTTTGGACGGATATTTGTTTGAAGGTATCTCAGGAACGGCTCAATAGATTTTTATTAAACTTGGTACAGATGTAGAACATAGTCTGGAAGAATACATAGGCGACTTTAAAATTCTGAGCGGGCGGAGTCGCGGCCGACAGCTAGGATATCTATAAGTAATAAATTCTGAAGTGTCTCCATGTACATTAAAAAAACATATTTTACACAAGAAATATTTGCGTTGCTTTTAACAAATCTCTGTCTGTCTGTATGTTTGTCCGCCCGCATGTGTTCCGGGTAATATTCGGAACGGGTGGACCGTTTTTGACGGGAAGATAAGATGATGCCACGCGGGCATATTAAAGGCTACTTTTTTAATTATGCGTAGTCGAAGGCGATCACTATATTGATACTTTCGTAAATAATATTTACATTTTCGCACGCGAATGTACAATAAATGATCCAACAGCGAAAAGTTGATATTAAAATACAATTAACACTTTTATACGTGAGTGTACAATAAAATGTTCTCCAATACAAAAAGCGTACAACTGGCGTTGACAGTTGTGTAGAACGGTGAAGTTTCGGGCCGACAAAAAATCTACACACAAAATTCACACTGAATTCATTCCAAACTAAAGGCTTATAGAGGGTATTGAGGATATATACAGCTAGTTAAATTGCGAACAATTTTTTATCGTATTTCGTCACTATCGTATCAATTTTGGTGTTAAATTAAAAAACAAAATGTTTTTAAAATGTATTTTTGAGATTTTTAAAGCGCCTAATGGTACGGATTTCCTATCACGTGGTTGAGAGTTCGAATGCTCTCATTCGACTAATGTCGTAAACTATATAAGGCACAAGCTTAGAGCTTAGAATAAGAAATTTCTATTTTCTTTCTGTGCATCCTCTCCTCCGTCTATTAAAGGTAGGCAACGCATATGTAATTGCGTATGTCTATGGGTAACGGTCACTTCGCTATTATATACTAAGAAAAGATGAATGGATTGAGTGAAAGTTGATAAAAATGGGAGTGATGACTGAAATAGCGATTGATTGATCCAATGGACGAAAACTGGTACATCAACCCTACGTAAGTTCCCACTTATCTTTATCCCTAAAGACTGAGGACCTACTAAGAATTTTTGTGAGAACGTTCTCGTAACGTCACCAACAAAAGTATTAAGTTTTCTCATACAAATGACACATTTTATCGATTACGTTACGAAGGTGGAAATTTTCCTGCTAGGCCATTAGTTAAACAAAAATCCTTGGCAGTAAACAAAGTAATACACTAGGTTCCTGCATTCTCCTGACTGTTAAGTTTTCCTTCTTACTACACTGACCTGATTTACATTTGTTACTGAGTGGGCAGGAGCATCGTGCGCCATTACAGGAATCGCAGTCACAGCTTTCGACCGCAGCTGTCCACGGCGGCGCCACTGTCGCACCTGGCACCTAACAAACATATCAAAGAATAACTACAGAGTCTGACTGTCTCCTTGTGAGTCTGCCGAAATGTATACTAAACTCGTAAAAGAATCGATCTACCATAGGTTTCTGATACTATATTTTGGTATAAAACATATCGTCCTCCCTGACATTTAATAAAACAGATATAACAACATATTGGTATCAGAAACCCATGACTACAGATTTTTCATTACTGTGATAGATATCCAAGTATTCTGTTTGTAAAAAATTAAACATGCTGTATCTCAAACTCATAGTTATTTCGTTTCCAATTTCATTTTGATATAATTGATTTGAACGAAACTGACATCGATGACGTCACAATTCTTCAAGTCTGCTTATTTACTCCCTTCTCGTAAAAAAAAATTTCTATGTATTACATAATAACTTACCTTTTGTTCCAAACTCGGACCGAGTGTTGTTACTTTAACATTATCAAGATTGGCTTCTTTTAATTTGTCCTCGGAAATTATATTTATATCAGTTTTACTGACTCCATCTTCTATCAAACTTTTAAATCCATCGATTTGTTTAGATATTTCTCCAGTATAAGTATAATTTGATTCTTTTATATCATACTGTATTGTCGGTGATGTTGTTAATATTTTCTCCTCGGAATGTTTTTCGCTAACAACAGTTTTATTAATTCTATTGGACGGGGCTATTTCTAGTTCTGCTGAAAATGATACATCTTTCTGATATAGAACATCCTCTTTTGTACCCGTAGATTCCGTTGATTTTGTTGCGTTTAATTCTGTAACAAATATACATCTTTATATATATATATATATATAATTCTTCTGTGAGTGTGTATGTCACTGAACTTCTCTCAAACAACTGCACCGATTTTGATGAAATTTTTTGTGTGTGTTCAAGGGGATCTGGGAATGGTTTAGATTTACAATTTTCATCAAATATTAACTTCATATTAAACTGTCTACACGTCTTTCATTTATTCAAATTAAAGACGTGTAGACAGGACAACGTCTGTCGGGTCCACTAGTTTATATATATAATATTAATTTTAGAAATTAATCATCACTTTTTGCTGGATTAATTACTTGTATATAATAATAGCGGTCGCCCTCAACTCAGTATGCGCGAAATTAAAAATAAAACATAATTAGTAGCCTGTGTGTTCTCCCAGACTATGCTTTATATGTATGCCAAATGTTATTAAGATCCGTTCAGCCGTTCTGGAAATACCTTCTAACAAACATACAATCTAAACATTTGCATTTATAATATTAGTTAAGATAAGATATATAGCCTAATCAAGAATACAAAAATCTTTACCGATTCAGCATCTTTGTTACACTTTAAAAGTGCGCAAAGAAATTAGTTTCATTTCTGTGTTTTTTTCTCTGTTTCTTTAAGACAATGATGATGAGGGCGATGATGAGAGCGTTGTAATTATTACGTTTTTATACTTTATTTTGCCGATAATTAAAATACTATTTGAACTTGTTACCTATCACATAAATCTCATTGTAACTAGTAAAAGTATTTACTGTACATTATCTAAATCCTTTACAAATATTATATCTCTTATTTGACACTAAAAAGATTTTTCGCTACAATTCCTGAATTGGTTTTATATTCTTATCTTTGGCCGGGTTCATAAAATCTCGTCCAGCGACTGCGGAAATAAATTTTGCACTGGCTTTAGAAATGATTCTATTTCGATGCTCGCCGTCCAATTGATAACTCTTTGTGATAAATTTGATTTATATTTTAAACTGGCCACAATTTTTATACAGCTAGAAGCGACAACAAATACGGTCCTGATATATGCTTGAAAAGATTGCCTCATTGTATTTTATGCAAAAGTATGGAGTGAATTTAGATATGACAGCTGATAGAGACACCAGAAATGTAGTACAGTAGAATCTCAAAGGAAATGCAACAAACGTTGACTAATTGTAGCCGGAGACACCCTAAAAACCTGGACAAATTAGTTGTGGTTGGAAAGATAGAGGGTAAAAGGTCACGAGGCCGATAACCTATCCGCTGGTCAAGTGCAGGCTATATTGGGACTTGATATCACGACTGCCCTAAGACAAGCCGACGACAAGAAGGCGTAGAGGCTAGTTGACGCATCCGTAAAGGCATGTATGCGAAGAAGAAAAACTTTGGTTTCTCATACAATATATCTGTAGTCAAACTGCATCTAATCGAACTAAACAACATTGGACTTATAGGACACGATTAGTAAAATAGAAAAAAATAAATCGATTTATGTTCGAATCTACAAACACTTAATCTCCGACACCATCTGGTCTAATTAATCATAATTCCACCGAGCTCACGCGAGTCCGACGTTTTTCCAATTTATCGCGGATCCAAACTGATTGATAACCCATTCCGACTATCCAATTAATGGGTTAACATCAACACTGAAAAACTTTTACGCTAAAAAGCTTCAAGTATTTTACGAATCGAGTTGATTCTGACGATTATTGCTTTCCATTAAATATAATGGGGTTCTTGAAAATGTTATTCAATTTCTTTTAATATATTTTCGTTTCAATTTCCTTGACAATTACATTTGCGGAAATAGAAAAGGGAAAAGTAATTTCAAAGAGGCAATAATTAATGGTACAGATAACAATTTGGTTCAAAAAGGAGAAGAATCTAAACCAGTAGTGTATCTACTTTTCCTTTGTTTTTACAGATGTTTATGGTTTTATTTCTCGTCGTATATAAAATAATCTGGTCTCTAAGGTCTAAGCCAACTGCTTCACGTACCGAGGACTAGAACAGTTTTAAGAACGTACTAAAGTTTCAGTCTACTGAGTTCCCTGGTCCGATCCCGGGATTATCTTCAGCTCCTTGGATTGGAGTCAAGTTTAATATAACTCTGTTATCCTACCAGTAGCCTCGTTTAAGTAAAAAGCGGTGAGGCGACCGTAGGCGCGAGAGTCGGATATAAAGAGGCGCCTGTAGTGTTCCCTAAGAGCTTTATGATGAAACCGGCCCCGTGTCATACTAGAAACCTTGATTCCCAGGATCTCTAAAGGTACAGACTGTAGTTGATGTACATAAGTCTGTAGTAGTTACAATATCGTCTACTCACCAAGACATCCATATCCGTCAACGTGAAGAACGTAGCCGGGACCGCAGCCACATTCATACGTGCCGTCGTGCAGCTCTCGGCACAACTGCTCGCACGGGCTGCCCTCGCCACACCGCCCTGCAACAATATCATGAAGACTACGTACAGTCAGCTGCAAAAATACTGTAGCAGATAAGATTTGAAAAGATACAGGTACTCCTAAAGTAAT